CGATGACGAGGAACCCACTTTGAGACTAATAATGGCTGGAGACGACTTGAATGGGTAATGAAGAAAAACTTTAATACAACAGCAAATGTACAACGTTTCGACAAGGTTTTGTCGATGTATGTGTACCTGATGATGACAAAACCTTGTCGAAACGTTGTACATTTGCTGTTGTATTAAAGTTTTTCTTCATTACCCATTCAAGTCGTCTCCAGCCATTATTAGTCTCAAAGTGGGTTCCTCGTCATCGAAGTTTCAAAACTATGTTTACGTACACAACGTGGTATTATTCATTATTGAGTTATTTTGTTTTATACTCTAAAAACGGTATAAAGCTCGAAACGTACAACAAAAATTACTAGCGTTCAAGCAATATGGGCTTTGTCCCAGCATAGTACGTGTATTGGCGTTTTGTACCTGGAACTGTGGTGTTGCCAATAGCAACGCCCCTCTTTTTTATCAGTAGAGGTAGTGGTAAGCGGCTCAAAACTTTTCTGACTTTAATCTGGCGAGTGAATGTTACCAGACTGTCTAATTCTAAGAGTCAGAAAAAAAGTAAGATTTCATTTGTTTATTTTCTTCATTTTATTAAGTATCTAATAAAAATTTTAATATGCTGAAAATAGAATTGATTCTAAAATCATTATAATGTTAAGTTATAATAAAGTCCCACACTAAATAACTTGAGTATAATGGCAGTTGGGTCTTTAGATTGTATCTAATTATTAATCAGCAGAGATTCATTTTCCCCCCAGTGGCAGAGAGGTATGTCTGCGGACTTACAACGCTACAAACCGGGTTTCGATACCCGTAGTGGGTAGAGCACAGATCGCCCATTGTGTGGCTTTGTGCTTAATTTCAAACAGACAACAGAGTTGCATTTAAATGTTCAATTAATTAAAAGTATATCTATTTTTCTACTAGAAAACGCTATATCGTATACTTGTTTGTTTGTTTGAAGTTAAGCACAAAGCTACGCAATGGGCTGTCTGTGGTCTTCCCACCACTGGTATCGAAACCCGGTTTTTAGCGTTGTGAGTCCGCAGACATACTGCTGTGCCACTAGAGGGGAGGTGATATCGTATACTTGTTTCTGTCTCTTGGGGGGGGGGGGGGTATTAAGCTAATTTGAATATGACAAACGTAAGTAATATGGTGTATTGATGGGTCTGTTATCTTCTTAACAGATGTCCTGTGGTCATCTTGACAAGGCATGGAAGACGATAAATGTCTGAGCTTGATTCAGCGGTTTATGAATTCAGGAGTTTTAAAATGTTATAAAAGGAAAGGCAAAATCCTCTGGCCTCAAAGTTATTCAGAGGTAAAAGTTGGAACCCAAAGTTGACGCTACGTTATGTTGTTTTACTTTGGAGAAGTGACTTCTTAAATATTAACTCACCTGATGAATCTAATTGAAGATCTACATTGTTGTGGAGAATTTATGGCTGGTTACGAATATCAAGAATTTTTAAAGAGTCTGAAAAAACCACCCGATAAAAGGACACAAGAGGTAAAGTTTACTTTAGTAATTGTTTTTTATACTTTCTGAGAAAAAAAAGCAGAAAATTACAAGACTTAGAATACATGCATACAGATATATCATATAAATACATATATATTGTGTTTGAGAAAGACGGTGGCTAATTGTTTGAAAAACTTGTGTGATTATTTATTTGAAATGATTTCTAAGTTTCTGGTTCTACCTTCTTTCACCTGATGCAGTGTTATTAGATTTATTTATGGCTATACAAAAATTCTATACTGTATTCTATTTAACAGTGCGTATACCAGAATAGGACGATTTTTTTTAGTTGGCAAAATGATTATTATTCTATTTTCAACCCTTTGGTTGTAATATCTCGATATATATTTTTATGGATTTTTAGTTAAATGTCAAAAATTACATACCATAGTATCCATTTTGAAGGATTAAATTAATTTGTCATTTATGATCTGTGAAATTAAATGTATGTTTACCACTAAATTCAAAATCAAATTTTTATTAGGGAAGGTAGTACAAAATGCATAGAAAGTAAATTCAGTCTTGATAACTACTGATACGTTTAGGTCTTTCAAGGAAGTAGGTTTTTATCCCGTTTTGCTGAAATGTTACCTAAAAGTAACTTACTTTAAAAACTGCTTGCAATAGAGTCATAAATGTCCTATAAAATAAATAAATAATTTCTTAAAGTATTTGGAAGTGAAGTAACAAAATCTTTCACATCTTAGATCGTCACATAGTCTAGAAGATTATGGAATGTTATTATGCGAATTGATGACCAGTTGCTTAGGGTCTGCACCATAACATAGTGAAGATTATAAAGTATCACTTCATCGGTAGCTTAAAAGTTTTTTTTTTCTCTTCTAGGACCTACGAGTGATATATACTCATCTTCTTAAGATTGAGCCCTTGTCATCTTTACGAGAAGCTTCTCTTAAAACGTTATGTAAAACTATCAGATATGAACAACATAGTGCCAACGAGGTTCTCTATTGGTAAGCAAGTCCCAACAGCTTTTACTGTTCAGAAAGAAAAACTTCATATTGAGAAATATTGAATATCTAGACACATTGATGCTGGACTATTGAACATTACGTAATATATATTTTCTATAATTTGTTACTGCTTATTTTCTAGAAATTATACTACTACATAAGTAAGTGGTAAGTCCAGGACAGTGGGAGTCATTAATACACTTCCTAGGATATTGAATCAGTCTATAGACTTATGTCTATGCTTCTAAATATATGCAAATAAATGTAAAGAAGAATTTTTAATAAGGAAATACTTTTTTTGATAGAAATAACATTTATTGTAAAAAGATTCCTTATGAAATCGTAAAATAAAATAAAACTTTACACGAAACTTTTCGAAAATCATACAGGCAACGTATAATGCTTTGTCTTTTGTAACTTTTTAGAGAAACAATTCACAATGAACAAGTAAAAATTCTAGTTGTGCAAGTTACAGTCATAATAAAACTGATAAATATGACCTTCAACTAAAAAACATTTATTAAAAGTTATATTAGTTTAGTATAAAACTTACGTGAAATATTAAAACAACATATGAAGTATTGTTTATTTCTAATTAAGCACAAAGCTACACAATGGACTATCTGTGCTCTGCCCACCACGGGTATCGAAACCCGGATTCTAGCGTTGTAAGTCCGCAGACATATCGCTATGCCACTGGGGGGCGATATGAAGTAACCAATGCCATCAGCACTTATCGGATAGTTGTTTAATATTTAACTGATAGAGAAACCATTGTTTTCGTGGTTTATGCACGTGTGAGATAAGTTTGAAGCTGTTAAGGAACACATTTTAAGCAACTGATGAAGTAAATTGGTAGAGATTTTTTTTTTGTTAAACCACAGAAACCTAGGGACTGGCTGGGTGCTTCAACAGTTTTACCAAAACTAAAACTTTCAAGATATGATCATTGTGTTTAGCTTTTGAAGAACAATCAACAATGGATAAATAAAAAAAAATCTGACTATGCATGTGACAGACAATCTATCTACAACAGATAACTATGACCTTCAATTTGATAGAAGAACTTTCATTACCAAGTTGTATAAATTTATCAGGTACCAGGCATAAGAGGCTAAATCACAACTGATAACGTTTAACTGGTGTACTAGAGGGATACATTTTATCTCGTTGTGGTATTTTGTATTTCAATACACAAAGTTTATAAAATGTAAAAAGTGTACTGTGTACTTAAAGTAATTAAAACAGTTAGGTGACCTGTTTAAGCCACTCACGTAGTTCAGAGCGAATCTGATGGCCGTGCGGGGCATCTCAATGACTGTGAGGTTATATATAAGTGGGTTAAACCTATTCCACGACACGTGATACACACCAAATCCATCTAGTAGAACAGACACTTTAGGCGAAATGGTCTGACCAAAAATGTCAAACCAATTGACTTATCTAGTAAGAGACCCTAGATTTAGCGACACCTGGATAATGAGAGCAAGTATTAAAACTCAACAGGGTGACAATACCAGTTCTCTAAATGTCTATAAACAAATGAAAAGATTAACACACAAAACATTAACACATAAACACTGCTGTCTGAGATATAATATACATTCCCCAAATACTTTTCCGTTTGAAATGCATAGTAGTAACTACACCCACACTTCCCTTACTAACTTTAATGAAGTTTAGAAAGCTTTCCACGCACGCACACGTTACTTTTTTAATATATTAGATATTATTAGCATTAACGTACACACAATACATAATTATGTTAAGTACGTTTCCAGACTATTAACTGCTTCCAGAAATGTTTTTGAAACTTCTTTAATATCTTGTTTAGCATTTCACTAGCTTTAAAATTAGCAATAGCTTGAAAATATTTTCATGAATGAAATGTTTTGTAAAATAGAGAGGATAAAATATATCATAAACATAATTAAAAGAAAACCTTAGTAATGGTAATTTGTTTAGGAAGTAAAAATTGAGCATAAATACTTTTTGTTACTTTTATTATTAATTACGTTTATTCTGTAACATTTTCTGAGATTAATTGTTTTTTGTTTTTCAAAAACAAGTGCTATATCCTGTATGAAAAATTAAATCGTTTATCAGTATATATTTAAGTTTAAATACGTGGTCCCAACGAAAAATCTTTCTGTGTTATTTTATACATATATATTCTTTAAACGTTTTATTATTTTAGGTTGCATTTTTAACTTGATAAATGTGATTAGCAAAGCTAAAGAATTTTTGTTTGTATTAGAAAGTGTTTTCTTTGCTTAAAATTCTTTGGACTTTGAATATTGATGAGAAAAAGATTAAATCATGGCATTTTGGGAATTCAGCCGTTAGCTAAGGGGGGACCACCAGTTATGTCGTAAATCTACAAATAGTGTTTCAAAATTTCAAATAAAAACACAACTTTTGATGTGTTAATTAATTCAAAACAGGAATAATGTGTAGTTTAGTTTGAATGTGCTTCTTCTTTCTGTACTTTTTGAATTACTATAGTATTTAAAAACCATGAAATTATGAAAAGGCAATTTCTGGAACATTGCCTAAAACTTATGGTGAAGAAGAGGTTTCTGCTGATGAAGTGAGAACATGATCTGTAACTATGGCAAGGATTATGAGCTTTTGGCAGCCATGTCAACAATCCCGATCTGTCCTCAAGACCGAGAAGCTGTGAGACAGCTAGGGAAACTCTGACTGCTGAGGCTACTTCCACATTTTACTCCCATATGTAGAAGAATGTGGCAATGAAGAGTGGTCAGGGTGACAAGCAGATTAAATGTACCAAATCCAGCTTAGGTACTCTCTACCGTAGTCTTTTATGCTTACTGACTAACCCAGACATCGCTAGACACTGTTTTTAGTTACCAATGACTAGAGGAAAAGATGTGAGGTGTGCATGGTATGTGATATCAGCCAGATCTGAAAGAGCTGTGATGCCACCAGGCAGAAAAACCAGCATGTCACACTGATATTGTGGATATTTGGAACACTCGTGAGCTTTCCTGTCTGGATAGGCTCATTGGTGACATTAATACTGCATCTTGCAGCTAAGGTTGATATGGAATGTGATATCAATGCATATCCTTACAATGTGAAGATCTGTTGTTGAGTTCACCTGATGACACCACGTTTATCAGTATGTGCACGTTTCCAGACTTATGAAGGAGGGTGAAGGCTTCCTGTGAACACAGGCAGTGTCTCACACACACAAAACAGTAGAAACCTAATGTAGGTGGTGTGAAGCAGATTAACGTACCAGTGTTTAAGGAAGATAGCCAAATAAGGTTCGGGCCATTTCCTCAACAGTTTGAGATAGGTTGTTGCTTATAATAAGTGTATTCCAAAAGAGGTGGTGTAAATGTTGATGCTGAATTTAGGAGTTTCAGTGCTCGACACCTTAGAGCACTTGATAACAATATGCAACTTAACAACTGGGAAATAGTTTCCAGATGCACAGTAATTAAAAGCTTGATAACAATGGTCTCGTGAGAACTTAGCCTCTAATACTGAAAATATTACGAGGTTGCATTGGAACATATTTTCAAATATGCCTCCTGTTTATAGGGATGAGATACTCATGGATAAATATACCAAATGATTGGTTTACTTAGCAATGTGTCACCAGAAGAGTCTCAGGGATATCTCATCTCTGAGTGAGAGCCAGTTTTTGTGGCAGTGCAGTTCACAGTAGTCATATCAAACATTATGCTCGCATCTATGGCAACTGCAGCTATGTATTTTGCTCTGAGAAAACTTCCAAGGCTTCGTACAAATTTCAGTCTGCAGCTTTTCCCAGATTTATTGCATTAGATACCATAGTTTCAAATGGAGCAATAGGTTATTGGTTACTATAGTAAATACAGGAAGCTTAGGCTAGTTTATATTAATGAATCCTGACTTGGACATGGTCCAAACGTAGATAGGTGAAAGATACATATGGAAAATTGCTAATGAAGAGCGGAGAATCACTTTTTAGTTGAAAAAGGTATAGCCAGATTGGCGAAGAATTTGATTATAAATACAAAATTGGTGTACCCAGTGTTTTATTTGGTTATGATGGGATAGTTCAATCACACAGATTAAAACACTTTTATGCATACAATCATCTGAATGGTTTTTACATTGCTTCAGTATAAGGTGTAGTTAAATACGTTAAAATGCTGCCAGAAGTATAAAGTAACACCAGTTAGTAGTGTACATGGAAAAGTCCCAAGGGAGATACTATGTAATTGTTAGTGGATTATAACAGTCAGAATTAGAGTTTATTATCTGCTAAACTGAATCAGCTCTGTGTAGAAACATATGTCTGTAGTCTTGTCCCATTTCCTTTCCTATTGTATGCAGGCTCTGTCCATGTGATAACAAGATGGTAGCAAAAGGAACGTGATTAGGTTGAAAGGTAAACTGTGTTGGATATTATCTGACAGGGATGACATAAGTATCGTTCATATAGAAACCAAATTAAGCTTGTGGGACCAAGAAGTTCACAGGTGTTTGTGATAAATCTTATAAAATCAATATAGGTTGTGATTACATGTAAAATCCATAGAAATATTGTTTGATTAAAATATAGTTTTATTACACTGCCTCTTAAAGCACTTTAGAGTAGGTCATGGCTGTTAACAAGATATTATGACCCTTTTTACAACCATCTTCTCTAGGTCAACTTCTGGCTTTTGGAATTAACTAGAGTGCGCGTTTTCAGTCCAGACTTTATCCATTTGATATGATATCTAAATTATTGATTGTGAATTTAATTTACTGCTGATAATTTTGCTCAGTTATGAATATTCCAATTCAATAGAAAAGCAACAAGCAAAACTGCTTTCCTTTCTTAAATTTTCCATGAAAATTCAGAACCTTCCAAACATTTCAATGTCAAAATTGAAACATTCTCTCGATATTATTAACAAAAATAACAGGTATACTGTACCTTCAAATAATATATTTCTAATCAATACTCATAGTTACCATTGTGTTTCTGGTGTAACTGATCTATTCATTTCATACAACACTTATGAATGACATTATATAATATTCAAATACTTGTAAGACCGCACACATATATATATATCCCCATTACACATTGTCACATACACTAGTAGGAGAGAAATAGACTGATTCCCGTTCCATAAAATTGCTTCTATAACTTCTCAGGTTACATTACACCAGCT